TTTATAAAAAATAATACTTTTTTCGTATACATTAAATCAAGAGCCAATGTAGTATCTATTATATGAAAATGAAAAATAAAATTGAATGTCTCTATCATACCTGTCTCTCAATTAAAATAGAAATTTTGGATGTACCTTTTTTTGTTCCTCACGAATCTTCTGCTCGACTTCACTCAAATCTTTATCTACTTCTGTCTTCTACAAGTTAAACATAATAAAACTAAACAATAACGAAGAAACTAAATGCAAAGAAAATAAATTAGAAAATACGTTAAGAGTTTTCAACATATTCAAATATTCAGTTTAAAAATTCTAAAAATATAAAAATAATAGTTTATGAAAAATAAAGCTGTAAACAGATATACTCGCGATGATTCACCTTAATTCAGCAACTTAAAATTATTCATAAACTATTTTTCATATGAGAAAATATATAAAACAAAAGTTTCATGTTTTCGAGGGAAGCTAAATACCTTACATTTGTTTAGAAAGATAATTCTATATTTCTTTATGAATATTGACAAAGTGTTAAAAGTTGAGAGAATAAATATTAAAGAGTAGTAGATATTTAAGAGAGTTATTTATGAAAATATATGCAACAAAAGTACACTGAAAACTGTTTACATGTCACTTGTTCAGTAACTGAATACCTATGTCAGTAGTAACATTCACACACTTCTTACACTAAAATTTGTACTGTAAATATCTTATTAAACATCTACCTAGAATCGTTTAACGTTTACTCATCCCATTTTAAGTTAGTATTTAATGAGTATTTAATACATTAAGTATTATAAGAGTCATAGATAACACTGGTCTACAAACTTTAACTTTTATTTTGTCACCGAAGATTTAATCAGTGATCTTCACATTTCGTTTTTAACTGAGGAATGAAAATAGCTACGCGAAACATAAGGTGCCGGCAATGATTCTCGATTGCCTCTTCCCAGTGCAATGCAACTGCAGCTTCCTTTTTTTGCAAAAAAAATACTAAATAATAAAGGAATGTGAATGTGTAAGTTAATACAAATATCTATCTAAGTAAAGCAAGCTAACACATTTACATGGATAAACCGGCTAGATGCGATGTCATTGCATATCCGATTCACCATAAAAAATAGATAGCATTAAGAACACTCAGTAAACCTATTATAACAAAAATCGTGTTCACCAGTATAATCAATGCCCAACTTGTTAAGAACTATACCCAACTCAGTTACAGTACTTTATTCAATTAAACAATATTCATAAAGACTATAGCAGGATAACGAGGTCAATAGTGCCCTTAGGCTGATTTTTCTCCAGAAAGTTTCCTTCGGTAGCTTACCTATAAAAAACATTGCACACCAATTTTCAGCCCTCTATCTCAACCAAAGGGATAGTTATATAGGGTAAATTCGAATTATCTGTTTCTGTCCCATTTTCAGCACTGCATGGCTGAGTATTTTAAATGTGCCAAGTATGAGAATGAAACTCCATTCAATTAAGGGGACCTTACACTTTCTCGGGTCGGAAAAACCGACTTTTTAGTAAGTATCCTATTGAAAAGTATCATGTTTTAATAATATTCTCTGACAAATTTCGGAGGAAAATTCGAAATACTTTCCAAGGTATAGACAATTATAGCATCAAGTGTAAGGCAAGCCAAATCGACCACGCGGCATTTCGGCCGTGTTAAATTAATTTCTTAACTATTAATCAAATGAATTTAACGAGAGAAACAAGAACAAGAATAGCTGATTGAACGTAAGAAGATTTTATTTGTGAAAATTCGTTTGTCAAAACTTTAAACAAGTTTTTCTGAAAACAACGTTTTTGTAATCGGCGTGCATGATAACTTAAAAACCATTTAACCAATCGATCTGAAATTTTAATGTGTTCTTCTACGCAACAATAGCTCCAGTATAGTCTAGAATAAATAGGATTGGTTAATTTTTTCCTCAATTTTTAACGTTTCCTTTACGAAAAAAATCCTATTTTTGAGACCACCAACTTTGCAAGTCCGCCATTTTGTGAATTTTTGCTCAAACAAAATAATCGTAGTCT